GCTCACGGACAATAACCCGTTGACATACGTATTGACCGGCGCCAAGTTGGACGCGACAGGACATCGGTGGTTAGCCGCCCTGTCAGCTTACAACTTCAACATCAAGTATCGACCCGGGAAATCGAACGTTGATGCCGACGTATTGTCACGGATACCAGACAAATGCGAATTTTAGGATTTGACAATCGGACGTGACTCGTTGGCAGCGGTCTGCCAGATGTGCCATGCACAGCCACACATGGACAGCCTACATTGGAACGCGACCACCCTACCGTTATCATCAGCTGATGATGACGAGGGCAACTTCGACATGGATCATCGCGACTTGAGGAAGTCACAAATGAGGGACCTCGTCCTTGGCCCATGCCTCGATTTTGTCTCAAGTGGCTGCAAACCGGTGAAAGCTGACATGTATTCCGCTTCCTGGAGTCCCAGCTTGTATCGTCAATTCGACTCCCTCAAAGTTATACGAGGAATACTGTACAGAGAAGCTCAAGTGGATGAAAAGGTGATTTTACAGCTAGTTATACCGCAGGAATGNTGATACTTTGAAAATTTTGAGCCAGCCCTACCCCCAAGGGCTGTAGGGTGGGGCTCAAGGGAGTCAGTGTGCTAAAATTTCTTCATTTTCCTTGTTTAGAATCAGAGGTGCTAGTTTCAAATCCTTTTTAGTCTGAAATCTGTATGCTTGATATTGAATAAGGTGGTTTTATTGTTTTTTGTCACTTTGAATAATATTTCTGTTCATGTTAAAAACGAAATCAACTCTCTGTATAAATATATCAGGTGACCGTTAAGGCCCATGGGCCTCTTGTTTGACATTGGAACCGTCAAAAGGGAACTTTCAGCACATTCTCGTCATCACAGATCATTTCACTAGATATGCTGTGGCAATACCTACCAAGAACCAGACCTCCAAAACAACAGCGGACGCATTTTTCAATCAATTTGTTGTCCATTACGAGATGCCGAAAAGGATACACTCTGATCAAGGCGCAAACTTTCAGAGTAATCTTATGAAAGACCTCTACAAACTCGCAGGGATTGACCAGTCAAGGACAACACCGTATCACCCACAAGGATACGGACAATGCGAGAGGTTTAATAGGACCCTATTGAGCATGTTAGGGACACTGGAACACGAGCAAAAGAAAGATTGGAAAGCGTACGTCGCCACTCTCGTACATGCCTACAACGCTACAAGAAACGACACTACCGGCTTCTCACCCTTTTATTTGATGTACGGACGAGAACCTCGTTTGCCGATAGACTTGGCCTTCGACATCAGTAGAGAAAGCAAGGAGACGGTGTCGTCTACGAAGTATGTATGGGAGCTGAGGACGCGTCTTCAAGAGTCGTATGATATAGCTACTTCGAAAGCATCACATTCCCAGCAGAAACAGAAGGATGGCTACGACAAGCGTATACGTGGTGCCTGTGTTTCCACCGGGGACAGTGTGTTGATTGTCGCTTTTGATGGCAAATACAAGCTCTCCGACAAATGGGAAAAGGATGTGTACGTTGTGTTGGAAAAGCCCAATCCAGACATGCCAGTGTTTGTAGTAAGGAAGGAGAGTGGAGATGGTAGGAAGCGAACAATGCATCGTAATCTACTGTTAACAATAGGGTACTTAGACCCTACTATCATACCAGACGAGTTGATACCACCCAACCCGAAACCTCGACCGACACCAAGACCCCGACTCAGGTCCCACCCTCTGCCCCCACAGACCCCATCTGTGGATGAAAGGACAGAAAGCGAGGACAGCGATAGCGATGGAGAAGGGGAACAATGGATGCCGGTGCCTCAAATAATACAGGATTTACACAATGCTCCGGAGAGTGTTGATGGAGGTGAACCTGAGGATGCTGACCATGAGTCGACCGTGGTTGGATCCACTGCCGGATCCGAATCTGAGGACAACGAGTCCGAGATAGAGGAATCTGAGGCCAGTGGGGAGGAGGCTGACGAAGATGGGGCCGTAGATGTTGAGCCAATTGTGGGATCACCGGTTTTACGGAGATCTGGAAGGGAGCGGCGACAACCATCACGGTTCGACGACTTCGTAATGGTGACGGAGGGAACCGTTCAATGGAATTCGAAGAGTAAGGCGGAGTATCTGAGGTCACTTGCCCCGGAAGGACTTTTCGTGCCGGGTGCAGAAAGACTGTTAGCGGCTATCATCAAATTGGTGGTCGAGTAATCCAGTACTGAAACCGCCAGTGTCCTATCTTGACATTTTTTTTAGTAGTTTTTGAATTTATCATATTATGTTTTACATTGTTTCATTTTTCATATATAGATAACCTTGTCCTCATAATACATATGTTGGGGGCAACATTTCTCTCAACAGGGGGGTGTATGTAGCACCCTTGTTATTTTGATATTCATAATTATTTGAATAAGTACATACTCAGTGGGAACATACTGAATATGAGTTCTTTAGTAACAATATAATTTACGATTTCATTATCTATATTCTAATCCGTATTTTGTTCTTTCATTCCGTTATCCGTGCCGCGTTTTCACTACCGAAGTCGCCGTATCACGTCATCGCTACTTTCGTTTTTAGATGTGTATACGTGTGTGGTCTATGTGACGTATTGTGTATGTTGTGTATGTCTTTTGTAAACTAGTTTGACAACTTGACCAATGATCCATGACATCTCGTGCATTGCGTGCATTTTTCCCGCCCTAAAGTTTTCTTCGCTACCTCTGAACTTTCTATCTGTCCATTTCATCGATACCTTCCATATTGAACACATCGATCATCTCAATCTGCCCTATGAGCATCATGAACGGATTCTATCCCTGGTACCACATACTAGGTAGGTCACTGTTCTGTTTATTTTATAGGCTAGAATAATACTTTTTATAGAACTAGTATAGAATTAGAAGTAAAGTATTATTTATTCTTGAAATTATTATTTTCTGACTATTTCTAATTTACCTTTATATTTTCGCCGACGGGCGTGGTCAATAATTTTGTCATTTAGTAGAGCGTCTGTATTTATTCTCGCTAGAATGCTAGTTTATATATTTATAAATGGAAAACGTACCATTATAGTGTAAACCACATTTATATATATTTGCGTACGCCATTGTGTAAATTATCTCGTCAGTTATGTATTGTCCAGTTATAGTCTGGTCGTTTGGAAAACGTGTGGTGTGGAATGTTATAATCAACGTACGTGTGTATTGTGTATTGCGTTATTTTAGTCAGGTGCGTTCGATACGAAATGTATGTGTCTTATATGTATATTTTAATGACTTACAGGGATGAAACTCCTGGATGAATAAAAACGTTGAACCTAAAATCCTGGCTTGATTGTATATGAGAATCTCCACGTCGGCAAGGAATCCTACAAACCCCCGAAATTACAATATTGCAAGATTTGCAGCAGATTTTGTATACCCAAATAAAGCACAAAAGTAAATCCAGATTTTGTACGGGATTTAAACATCCGTTGCCTCTTAATTACGATACATGCTGTGGAAAACAGCAGGTGTATTCTTTTCTCGATCCCCGACCTGCAGGGCAAATTACTGTTGATAGGACGTTCAATAAGATGAAACTAAAATCGCAGTATCGGACACAAATTTACCTGAAGTACCACACTGAAATGTGCTTAAAAAGCAAGTGGCCATATTAAGATGCAGTCAATTTAAGCTAGTTTGGCTTTATGAATCAACTTCGTAATTCTAGATTTTATTTTATTTCATAAAATATTCCATACAACTAATTTGTTGTACTACTTTGAAGGCTGACTTGTAATTCAATAAAAGAATAGCACTGTATAAAATATATGTAGTTCTTAACCTTTTAACATCTTTTGTTAACTGTTCTTTGTTGTTGATTTTACCGTTGATGGGCGGCCGTTAATCAACTAAGAAATTTAAAATTGAACTCGATTTACTCAATCTGGAACTCTGGAACTTTGGAATACTTCGTGTTCACGATTTTGAACGTGATGGAAACATAAAGTGTAAAAACAAAAGAATTATTTATTGACGTAAATTCGGTATCAGTTATTTCAATGTATATGATATATCGCTTGCATATCTGTCAATTGTTAGACGATGCATGATGAATCACTCTTCAAATATCAGTAAGAGTCAACTGAAGTATCAACTATTGGATGGTGTTGTGGAGTTGCGTCTGAAAGCTAAGTACGTTATACGCGTACCAACGACTAATGGCGTTGTATAGTTCTTTAAATCTGACAGCTCAAGCAATCTTGTGTTGTACAGTTCTTTTAATCTAACAAGTAAGGTAATATATATATGTCTCAACAAGTGGATCGTGTTGTAAAGAGTAGGAGTCATACTAGAAATATACGCGTATGCGAGTGTCGACGACTGGACGGTAATGTAGTGTTTTCGGGTGAGCGCACATTTATCATATGAAACAATATTATATACACCTTGTGCAGCTTACGAGGTCATAGACATACAAAAATGTATAGTTCGAAAAGAGAACAAATTCTTGGCGAGATTCTTCCACCATAGAGTACAAATCTAATCTAGTTCTTAAAATAGGTGAATTTTTACGTTCTTACGTTTTATATAAAAATCATAGAAACCAAATTAATTTGATGAAGTGTCGGTATATGTCGTTATTATACTTTGTCTTAATACTTTTATATGTCGTGTTTAGACAGTGCGACTGGAACTTGCACTTTAACTTGCTCCTTTTTCGCCATACGCAGTGAGGTGATTTAATCATAGCGGCGACTATAATTACACAACCAATCATGTACATGTGAAGGGCGCAATTGCACTGGGTGAATATGGGTTTTACCGGTGAAGGGGACATATTTGGTTAGACTAAAGTTTTGAAGTGAACATTTTATAATGTTATACTTAAATTGTATTTGCTATTTTTTGTAATTATTCGGAGACAGCTACTGAATATACAATGGACGAATCAAGTCTATCAGACGTCAAAGGAAACGTAATACAGTTTAAACTGTACCAAGGGAGAAAATTTCACCCGGGTATGGTCGGAAAGGCATCACAACGAGTGGAACACATAATTTCCCTTAAAAGTCGTCCGGATGATGTGCTCCTTTGTACGTATCCGAAATCAGGTATGTACGCAAGAAATTACATATTTTCATGATATTATTGATGACCGGTGCTGCGTTTTGTGAATGCTTTGAAGATGATAAATCATTATCAAATGAAAGAAGAATAAAAGTATTTCTACCGTTCGCTACCAGTTAAATCAAATAAAAAATAGCGTTTAAGTCAGTATTTATCCAACTTATACACGACTTTGCGAACGAAATGAGCAATTTATCCGATCTTTTGGCATACAATTTCAAAAACTACTGGAAATTCGGATTGAGACGATCATCAATCGAACTTGCTATTATACCGGATATTTCAACATGGACTATACGGCTGCCAGAAATTAATTTAGAAATACACAATTAGGACAAATCTCGCACTTTTCCAGTTCAATGCACGAGCTCTTCTTCAGAGGATTGTGTACATCTCGCTATTTCCCCTACAAACAACCTTATTTACCGACATCTCAAAAGGTCGACGAGAAACATGCACCAGCATGTGTTGCCGGCGACATGTCTTCTTCCTGTCGTTTCCACGATAATGCCTCTATCGTCCGAGCTTTGAATAAAAAGAATATCATGAAAAAACTGTGCCGTATAAAAAGACAACTTTGGATTCGCTTTTCGGTGATCATTTTGTGCCCTCGTATTTTAAGTTTGGCTTTTATCTTTTTTTTTGTACACGGAGTGATACATGTATCTTTTTTTTCATTCCTATTCTATTTTACTTGCTCGTGGAAGACCCTTAAATCTGACAACCTAAAATGAGGTGGTTATTTAAAATATTTTAAATTATTAGAAAATAGCACGCATTTTATTTTAAAAGATTTTTTATTTAGGATAGACTAGGGAACAGCGAATCAAATGTAACTGTAACTTGTAAATTAGGAAGGTGGTAGACCGCTATTTAGAAAAGGAATATTAACAATGATGAACCGTTGTGTTTGTCACAGCTTTGTAATGATGGTAGAGCATACTACCATTGTGTAATAAATACAATATACACTATAATTGTTCGCTGATCCAATTAGATATCCGATTTAATAATAATTAAACAAACCAATTAGAATCAGGATGAATGAACGACAGAAAATGAAATTTATTGAACGAAAACCAAACAAAATGAACGAGGGAATATGTTAAATGGTGGACATGTTAAACATAAAATAATAATATCAAATAAAAGCATATGGCAAGTGAGAAGAAACAGGCCTCCGTCTTGCGGTACATGATAATATGTTTGTTAAAGTATATAATATTCAAACAAAATTGATTATCCTTAAACTTTATGAAACGTTGAATTTTATGGGTTTTTTTCTCTTTGACCGTAATATAGGTACTCATTGGGTGTTTAATATCATCAAGATGCTACGGTCTAACAGCACTGAATACAGCGGATCACCAGACATGCTTGAATATGCAGATTTGGCCGAAATTGATCTGAAGGACTCTCCCAGAACCTACCACAGTCACATGACTTATCCTTTAATCCCTGGGGCGGCAAAAGATGGGAGAATCAAAATAGTGCATGTGTTGAGGAACCCAAAAGATGTGGTGTGCTCATTCTACAAATACCAGAAACAGCTCAACAACAAGCTGTATAAAGGAACATTTGATGGATTTGTTAATTTCTTCCTATCGGATGACTGTAAGTTTTACCTGGTTATGAAATTGCTCCCTGTGATAGCAACGTTGTGTCTTTGTTTCCGTAAATAAAAACACACATGCATACACTTCACGCATTCATCTTGCACACTGGGGAGGCCGTCCTTAAATGACCATAGTTGTTGATAGCTGTAAGTAGGACGTTTAATCCATCAATAAAAAAAGAAAACCGGTAAAGAAAGTATATGGATTTATATATTGTAACATGTTTATAGTCATTTTCCAACTCACTTCGGTGAGGTTTATAGAATGTCCACTACATCAACACATTCACTGTTGATTAGGTCATATAATAACAAATATATTAAAACTGTTTGATATCAAGTTTTCTTCTTGCCAAAATGTTCCTAATACTTCAGTCCCGTCAATTTGGAATGGTTTGGTTTTATTTTGTTTCATTTTCTATCAACAGCTAAGGTAATATCAGGACGTGCCTCCATGTTTGTAATTACAGCTTTTCGGTGGTGTATTTATGCCAACTTTTCGAAAATGAGCAAGTTCCAGGTTGTCTTTGGGACTATTTTCATTTCTGAGTGAAAGAAAACAAATTTATTAAAATAGTAGCGAGAGCACTTAAACTTTGATATCAGTAGCACTCCAAAGATGCATGCCTAAATTATAAAATGAAGAATTTCAGTTAGCTTGAGCATACAGTTTTACAGATTTGGTAAATAACCTTCATCTGTCATATGCGATCAATAAAATTTAAAATTTCAACTTGTATTATTCACTCTTATTGGCCTGGAAGTTAGCACGAAGTAGGTCTTAATGTGGGCGGCAACGGAAGCACCTCTGAAGCACCATAAAAAAAACACGTGGTCGAGCAGGTGACCACCTACTGCGCTATTCACTGCACCACCCAACCACCCTAATTATTAGCTCACCGGGTCCGAAGGACCAAGGTGAGCTTATGCCATACCATGGCGTCCGTCCGTCCGTCAACAATTTCTTTAAACGACTTCTTCTTAACCACTGATTGGAATTTAACTAGATTTGACTGGAAGCATCCCTAGGTGGCGGGGATTCAAAATTGTACAAATGGTGGGGCTGACCCCTAAGGGGGCTGAGGGGCGGGCAAAAAGGGGGCAATTTTGCTATATTGCTTTAAGAGACTTCTTCTCTGGAACTAAGAGATGGATATCAACCATATTTGATTGGAAGCATCCCTAGGTGGTGTGGATTCAAAATTGCACAAATGGTTGGGCTGACCCCCAGGGGCTTCTTTAGAACTATCGATTAGGAGGCAGGGATTCAAAATTGTACAAATGGTGTGGCTGACCCCCGTGGCGGCTGAGGGGCGGGGCCAAAAAGGGTTATTTAGCTATATTAATTTAAGCGACTTCGTTTCTTCTCTGGAAGAACTATACCGTACTCTCCGTAGAACTATACCATGGATATTGATCATATTTGGTCGAAAGCATTCATGGGAGGCAGGGATTCAAAATTGTACAAATGGTGGGGCCGACCCCCCGGGATAAGGGGTGGGGCCAAACATATTATAACTTGGAAATGGTTGGGATCCCCACCATATAACCATATATACAATTGCTGAGTATAAAGAGAAGCATGCACATTTGCTTCCAGGATGGCCCTAAGGTCTGGCGCCACCCTTGTAGACTTAGCCCCTGGGTCATAACTTTGAAACGGTTAAGATCCCCACCCCAAAACTATATATACAATTGTTGGGCATAAAGAGACGAATGCAGTCATGATATTAGAATTGATCCCAGGGTCTGCCCCATCCTTGCAGACATAACCCCTGGGTTATAACTTTGAAACGATTGAGATCCCCAACCCAAAACTACATATACAAATGCTGGGCAAAAAGAGACAAATGCAGCCATGATATTATAATTGATCCTGGGGTCTGACCACAACCCTAGGGACCTAGTTTCTGAGTCACAGCTTGGAAACAGTTGAGATCCCCAACCCACAACCATACATAAAATTGCTGGGCATAAAAAATCAAATACAGATATGCTACAAGGATTGGCCTTGGATTCTGGCATATTCCCTTGGATCTCATTTGGAGAATAGTTTGCCATGATTGCTTCCAGGTGAGCGATACAGGCCCCCTGGGCCTCTTGTAATTACAATTAGTTTAACTTTAACATTGTTATTAATTTGTGTATAATTCGCAAGCGGTTGCGCAGATAAGTTATATTTTAGCTATTGTTAAGAAGGATGCTGTATCAACGAAAAGAAATCTCATGACCCTGTAACAGCTTACAGCAAATCAAAATGAGATTTGCAAGCGTATAAAAACGTTACAACATTACTTGGCAACACAAATTAAGTTTGAAAATAGTCGAGCGTAGAGACGTTTGTGACACCATCTTACTCCATTTATTATTTTTATAATTTTATTTTTCCCATTTCATTACCTTGTCTGTTGAGAGAACGTTTAAAAAAACTAATCCATTTCACAATTAGACAACTATGATGTTTACCAGCATGAACCCATCGCTAACGTTCTGTAAATATTTCTGTTTGATAAATAGTTCCACACTGTGGAGGTACTTGGTTCACATACGTGAAAGAATGGGCTGATGCTAGGAGGACGAACCGGGACCTGGACATCATTACCTTGCATTATGAAGACCTGGTTCAGGTAAATCTACATCGTTTAATCGTTGAAATCGGTTATATGAAACTGAGGGATTAGTTGATTATATACAACCATACTAGACTAGTTGAGGGGGAGGGGCAGACGATTAATACCTTTCATACCAGGATTTTCCCTCTTTCGCCAATTAGGCACATGACAGGTAAATAATGGCATATATAGGAAAGTCGTTAAGACCGGTAGTTGTCACTCACTGCTCAAACGTTCGGGATTTAGTATAAACACAACTACCTGTTGTCATTATAATTGGACAATATGGAATACTGTGCAAGATGCATTGTATTGTATAACAGTGAGGTAGCAATTCCGGAGCCGAAATAGACAGGTTCGGGTAAAAATAGACCCGTTGTACAGGTATCCAACTGCATGTGGTAATAGACGAACAAAGTTTTCTTCATAGTATATTACTAAGGGGACGCAGACGAAACCAAAATGTATCTGTAGTCCCCAATTGCAATTCTGGTGATCTGTATCTTTTCTGTTTTCGCTACCCTTTTCCTTTGCCAGTGTCCCTCCTAGGTACATGTATCCATATGGCCCTGGATGCTGTGATGACATTTTATCTAATACAAACAAACCAACAAACGAAGCATAACATGCATGCTATCGCAAAAGGGCAATTTTACCAGCATCCCTTGACCAACGCTATTGTTACGCTTATGCGCTTATTTCAAACAAATCCGTGACAGATTCTACAATGTACAATGTACCGTCTATGGAAAGATTATTTGCACTCGATCAATTTTTACAATAAGATTTTTTATGTTTTTTTTACAACCAATTCGTTCGCTATCAAGTATTTTGTTTAAACTCTTTTAGACTTGGGATGGAACACGATACAAAAAAAAATCGCAACAACTGAATTTTCCTTGTCAATAAAATGGGAACGGATTGAATACTCTGCTGGTTGACTTTGGCTTCATATTCCAGTGAGGCAGCACTATGAAACCGGCAAACAGATCTTTACAATCAACAAGATTTCAGGTTTTTTACAACCAATTCGTTCGCTATTAAGTATTTTTTTAACTCTTTTAGACTTACTGTTTTTTATTTAATATATTAGTTTGTGTGAATGTCTATCTTTACATTGTCGTTAGCCCAAAATGACACACAAAATTGATGGGTTGTAAAACAACACATACATAAACAAAAACAAATTATCGAAACAACTGATTTTCCCGTTGTCAATAAAATGGGAACGGATTGAATTCGGCTTGGTATTCAAGTGAGGCAGCACTAGAGTCGATTATACCACATACCCTGCAACCAGGACCCGTATTCATGAAACCGTGAACATGCTCAAACTCATGTACTGTGCTTAAGCCAGATTTTTGGTTTTGTTTCTGCAATATCTATTTAACACATTTACGGGTCCTATACATCCATACACTCATGCACACATACATGTACATTACAAACATAGGGGTACGTAAGCTGTTAAAAAGACGTTAAACACATCAAAACCTTATGAAACCAAATATCCTGTCTTTTCTCTCTCTGGCAGCCAGCTGTCACATTGAAATCTGTAAACACCCGGTAGAGACTAGAATTTAGCCTATCTTACCTTAAGGGCCAAGGGTGACGGTATTTATAAAATAGCAAGCTGGGATAGGGGGTCACAAAGTTTGCTTAAATGAATGACCTTGACACACTTTCAAGGTCACGTTGGTCAACTGTTTAAGCAAATTTTCAAACAACATGTTCTGAATAAGCAGAAGACTAATGATATTTTGCCAGTGTCATGCTGGTATAAAGGGCTACCATGTTTAAAAATAAATCACATTGACCTAATTTCAAGGTCATAACTGTCACAGGTGTTGAAATCTTTAACCAATTTCTCAATTATCAAAGGACATATATATCCAGTAAGATACTGGGATGAAAGGCTTAAATGTTTGCTCAATTGAATGACCTTGACTCACTTTCCAGGTCACTGTATTGAACAAATTTTCAACTTTTACTGTATAACCAAAAGATCCGTGTGAAGATATTTGGCAAATAGTAGGATAGGATGAAGAGCTACCAATGGTTTCTTTCAAATACATGACCGTAACCGACTTTTATGTCACAGATGTCAAATGTGTTCAAATTTTCAAATAACTTTTAAATAACCAAAAAACCACGAATGATGACATATGGCAAGAGTCATTCACTTTCAAGGTCGCATGGGTCATATATGTGAATACCAAAAGGATCCAGGGTGATCATATCTAGCCAGTAGCTTGCTCGGATGTTGTTCCAATGGATGACCTTGACCCACTTAATGACTAAATTACTCTACAGAAAGAAAGACATTATTGCTGAACAGATATGCACTAACCGAGAATTGACAAACGTTTTACTAAGGGTAAATGTCATCTTTTATTTTTACAGTTCTCTATACTTTCTTTTTCTGCTGCTCAAAGTATTGCACGATGCATTTTGTTCATTTTTATTTCAGAATTTATATTCCAATGTCGTGGACTTAGCTAGATTCCTAAAAGTGGAACACGATGATGCCTTTCTGAGACAAGTGGTGGAGGCTGTGTCGTTTGAGAACCTCAAGAAAAGTCATGCTACAGGCAGAGGGGCCAAAGATGCGTTTAAGGACTGGATCAGTGATGGCAGATTACCAATTTATCGAAAAGGTAATTTTCACTTTACGCTAAGACATAGTCCTGTGATTAATATTAATGTGAAATACTTACATCATATCACTTTATAAAGTCTGGTTTCATTGGATTTGTGTGTAATACATTTACTACATCAAACTAAATGATGAATAAGGAAATACAGTTCCGTGACATATTCTCCAGCTTGCGCAACCGTTCGAAACTAAGACTGTTTTGCATACCATCATATATTTAAAAGAATGCATTTCTATCATTGAGTGTTCGGCAGTAATTATCAATTCCGTATATCATAATTTGTCTCATTTAAATACTTCATATGATTCTTTTTGTTGCAGGAAAGGTTGGTGACTGGAAGCGGATATTGACGGCGGCACAAAACACAAAATTTGACAACGTATATCAGGAAAAAATGGCTGCAATGAATACTGATATCGATTTTGTATTCGAATGATTGATATATATTATAGTAATAGTTTAGTTTACATCACTCAAGAGTAATAGGTTATATTTGTCTATATCACACCGGAGTAATAGATTATATGAGGATATATCACACCTGAGAAATATATTCTATTAGTCGACATTAATAATGATAATAAAAATAATAATATAAAACATTTGATATAGCGCCCTATCTAGCTATAATAATCCACTCTAAAGCGCTTTAAAGTGCATAAATATACAATTAATCCAATTATCATATACATTAACTAATTTAATTTTGAGGGGCTAACTACTAGTCCTGTGCCACCTGGCTAATATCTCCCTATGTGTGTATGCCTGCGTGTATGCTGGAGATGTAATGTGGTCTGTTTTGTAATGAGACCGTGCTTCCAACGGCATCTTTTATAGTGCCACCTCACTTGAATGCTACAGCACAGATACCGCAACATCCACCCAGACCATGTTATACTCCACCTGGGTTGTTGGAGTTGTCTGGGCAGGAGAAAAACACTTTCTCTGATATTCCATGCGTACGACGAACCCGGGCCGTCAGCGTGGAAGGCCGAAGTGTTAACCACTCGACCAATCCACCCGCAATTGGGGTAATAGGTTATTAACTAGTCTACATCAATCACACTGGCGTAATAGATTAGTTTACATCACACAAGAGTAATATATTATATTAGTCTATATCACACATGAGCAATAGATTATATTAGTCTACATCACACTGGAGTAATAGATTATATTAGTCTACATCACACTCGAGTACTAGATTATATCAGTCTACATCACACTGGAGTAATAGATTAGTCTACATCAAACAGGAGTAATAGATTAGTCTACATCAAACAGGAGTAATATATTATGTTAGTCTACATCACAATGGACTAATAGATTATATAAGTCTACATCACACTGGAGTAATAGATTAGTCTACATCAAACAGGAGTAATATATTATGTTAGTCTACATCACAATGGACTAATAGATTATATAAGTCTACATCACACTGGAGTAATATATTCTATTAGTCTATATCACACATGAGCAATAGATTATATTAGTCAACATCACACTGGAGTAATAGATTATATTAGTCTACATCACGCTGGAGTAATAGATTATATAAGTCTACATCATACTGGAGTAATAGATTATATAAGTCTACATCATACTGGAGTAATAGATTATATAAGTCTACATCACACTGGAGTAATATATTCTATTAGTCTATATCACACATGAGCAATAGATTATATTAGTCTACATCACACATGAGCAATAGATTATATTAGTCTACATCACACTGGAGTAATATAATCTATTGCTCATGTGTGATGTAGACTAATATCATCTATTGCTCATGTGTGATATAGACTAATAGAATAGATTACTCCAGTGTGATGTAGACTGATATAATCTAGTACTCGAGTGTGATGTAGACTAATATGATCTATTGCTCATGTGTGATGTAGCCTAATATAATCTATTGCTCCAGTGTGATGTAGACTTATATAATATATTACTCCTGATTGATGTAGACTAATCTCTTACTCCAGTGTGATGTAGACTGATATAATCTAGTACTCGAGTGTGATGTAGACTAATAGATTATATAAGTCTACATCTCACTGGAGTAATAGATTAGTCTACATCAAACAGGAGTAATATATTATATAAGTCTACATCAAGTCGCTACATGTAGGGCGTAAGAATTGTTCCTGCTGCCCCCATTGAATGATTGTATGAGGCAACTAAATTGTGGATCTTATCTTTTCTCTCCTTTCCATACAACTCTATTTTTCCTGATGTCTCCCCCTGACAATGCCTCAATTTTGGCCTTTAGTTGAGCATTCGCCCCTGTGAGGAAGGCTTGGGTTCTGTCCCCTGGCCGATACATACCTGAGTCGGTAAACATGGTAGTTTCTACTCATGCTTAACGCTCAGCAATTTAGGAGTTGGACGACTGGTTCGCCCGTTCTCAGTATAATGTGACCGGGTGGGGTGTCCTGCCGGGCGTCTTCGGTAGTTAATTTCAGTGAGATTGCACTATAAATTAGGCATCAGTTCCGCGATATCACAAGGAGACAGACACGAACATATCGCAACCTCTCAAAATACTCACGCATACACTACACGCATGCATCTTGTACATTGGGGAGGCCATCTTGCACATTGTGGCGGTGGTGGATTTTTTGGGTTTTTTTCATATATTTTTTTTCATTAAAGTTCGGTAAAATATGGTTTCCTTGTGTTTTGTTTTATTGTTAGGTCACTCGGGTGACATTGCGATCGCCTTTCGCCCGTCGTCGTCCATCGTTCGTCGTGCGTGAATAAACACACCGAATTCTCTTTAGAACCTCAGTGATATTTTAATGATTCTTGATGGTAATCATAATCTGAGGTACGGATCAGAATCTATAATCGAGATAGGGTTGAGGGACGTGAAGATAAGTGGCCATAGAGTGCAAAAGGGGCCGAGTGACAGAGCCATAAGTTTCATAAGTGGTAATATTCAGAATGGTTAAAATTTCACAATCTAACAATCTTTTTCATACCCAGGTATGCTAGAATTATATCCTCTTTATAGATGGACAGGCCCAAATTTAAAGGTGTTTTATCAAGATTGTGAATTTCATTTAACTCCCTTCCGGTGAGGTGATAATGTTTATTAACGGTTAACATTGTATGTTTTGTTGATTTTCCGTGGGAAGTAACCCAAACTTAGTTAGAATTCTAATCATATTAATTCAATTTAACTGTAATCCCTTTAGAGGGAAATGTTACTTTAATGTAATGTATTTCATCATTTTACTGATATTTACTAGATCTATAACTCTCCAAAATCATTACTAAACGTAAATCCACAATCAAAAAGACGTTGATGGTTATATGTACAACGTCCTTTTATTCTTTGTCACATCACAGTTATAAGTAAAGGTTGTACTTAAGCTCAGATGACAGTTAACGCCAATATGGGCCTTTATGCTACTGTTGCTTTTCCACCGTTCTTGTTTGTTATTTGTTTATGTAAAATCTGCATCAATATAATATTTGTTTTCTATATTTTTATTTTGCTTTTTTCTCTCGATAAAACTGTTCAATTGACAGTTCAAATGTGACAAAAACTACTAGCTTTTTATAGCTTATATTGGATATATTTATCATACTCCGTGCATGACGTGACCGGTTCAGATCGCAAGCCAAATAATATACAACATGGTAGCGCATTACTTTCGCTTTGCTGGAATGAGAAGAATCTCTTGAAATAATTCAGTGGTTAGAATACACGGTTGGGAATTATTGTCGGACACCTTATGATGCTATTTGGTAACTCTTTAGCAGTAAACTAACTGACATCTGACTGAATTCGTAACATACGAGCTGTATTATGTATATCAAGTATTGCGTTGTTAACAAAACACGTTTACTTGGGTAAACGTACAGATAGTAGTCTATTCTAGATGTGGCTAGTACACTATGTCCATGTTTGTATGTGGGGAAAACGGATTCCCAATAGTACAATTAAAGGATGTATACATACTTGCAAACTTTCCCCTTTTTGGAGGGAGACTCCAGACTTTCACCCCCTCGCCCCTGGAAATTTCAAAAAGTTGGCAAGTATGTGTATATACAACATTTTGTATTTGTGATTTGACACAAATATACTGGTGACAGATCTGTTATATGAGAAGACAACTGCACGACCACACCGGATTCGAACCTGGGACCCTCCGAACTGAGACAGAAGTTCTAGTAATTGAGTTACCTGGTCACTGACGATTGACCGGCCAGTCCACTTCTGCTACATTCATTCCTTCCTCCTCTTTACAAGTCTCTCTCTCTCTCTCCCCCCCCCCCCCCCCCCCCCCCCCCCCCGGACAAAAGCACAGTATCTAGATGTGTTAGGGATGTTTGTGTGCAGCCTTGTGCCAATTCAAAGACCAGGCACTGAAGTGGCCTTCCCTGGAAGAAAAACTACGAGGGAAAACAAAATTCTTCACCATATCTGCCTTTCCCTCGGTCATTGGGGCAGTTAAGATTTAACGACTCGTTAAATAGTCGCTTACTTTAATCATTCTCTTACCCATGATTATTAACGACTCGTCAAATGTGGCCTTTAGCCTTGGTAATTGTGCCTCCTCATAGAAAAGAAAGAATTTATAGGCACCAGAAGATCCTGGATGGGACCTTTACAGATCAAGAGTTGAGGCAGCGGTATCGCTTTGGACGGAAGTCCATTTTATTTGTGTCCGGTCTCTTAAGACAAGTTTTGACGAGAAATTCAAAGAGAAATCATGCTCTATCCGTTGAGCAGCAGGTAGCCTGCAGCCTGAGATTTCTTGCGAGTGGCAGCTTCCTGCAAGTTGTTGGAGACACTACAGGTATTTAATTATATAAACATTAAAACTTGGATCTAAAACTTAAAAGTACTTAAAGTACTAATATTGTATATATATATTTGTACACTTTAATTTCTCTTATTTTTAAATGGCTTTTATTTTTCATCAATACAGCAGTGGTCTCATCTGTTATTACTCTATACTGAATGTTGAAAAAGTAATAAGAATGAAACTGTATGTATTCAAGTGTTACAAAACTTCTTGCCAACAGTGCTGTCAAAAATTGTCTTTGTAAACAAACTGCAACAACCAATTTACTGTAAACAAATTGCAATAACCAATTTACAATAATCAAGCACCTTTGACTGACTCAATGAACTTGAGGTTACACTCCTTTGTTTTAAAAGGAAGTGGCAAGTCACTTTAAGTGTAACATTATTCACTATACTTTCTTTGCTAAGGCCAGAAACAAATCTCATGTAATAAAATCTATGAAAGTCTCACATTTTTTACTGTAAACAACTTACTACATTGAAAGGATTGGACAAAAGCACAGTATCTAGATGTGTTAGGGATGTTTGTGCAGCCCTGTGCCAATTCCAAGACCAGGCACTGAAGTGGCCTTCCCTGGAAGAGAGACAGCGAGGGAAAACAAAATTCT